TAACTGCTACAGTGGTAGCCAGGAATCTTCTCACTCCAAAGGACAACAGAATCCTTTCAAACCGGTCTGATGAGGCGGCCGTTCAAGACTCATTGGCTCTCAGTGTTCAATGTGCGGGCTCTGTATCCAATATGGGACAGCGCCTACTTGCTCGAACTCACCAAGTTGAATCATTAATGGTTGAGGTGGCAAGTCTTAAACAAGAGATTAGAGGGCTCAAGCATGAGAATAGAGTGTTACACATGCTTTCAAATAATTACTCTACGAGCATGAAAAGAAAGCTCGATCAGCTACTGGAATCTGAAGGTCGGACTCAAAATGACAATCGGGGGTTCGAGTCTTTATTCCAAAGACATCCATTGTCTTAGCTGTCTGGAGTTCCACCAAGTATTGAGACTCCAAATAATCAACTTCTGGTGTTTTCCCCTTCTGGGGTACTTCCGAGTACTGAGGCTTCACATGAGTAACCTTTGTGAAGGTTCCCTTCTGTTTGTTTGTTTTAACTCATGTGTATGTAATTTCTCGGAGATATTAATATATAAGATTTATTTCATTCAGTGTATTGTGTTAAATACAATAAAGCATATATTTCACTAAGATGTGGTACTTCTGGACCAAATATCAATTTATCTTTACCCTCACGAAGATAAATGATTATTCTTAGTGTCTAAATCATTTGAGTATTCAACTCATAATCTTCAATCCATATGATTCTTTAATGTCCTAAACATCATGGATAAGATTCGTGTTGGCATATTGTTCGATTCTGCAGTTCGAGACAATATTTCTCTCAACACTTTATAATCTTTCTTGACTCTTCAGGAGTCCCAATTTAATATCATCAACTCTTGCAAGAGATTTTAGTATGTTGCAACAATACCATAATGAAAATACTCACTAAGGCAATTTATACCATCCATTGGTATTGAGTACATATTTTATGCTTTACCCTTATGGGGTTTTCTTCAAGCAATTTGAATCCTTCAGGGATTTTCTACATTTCATGACACATTTTCCTTTAGAATTTATACAGAGCAATTCGCTTCCATGTATATTTGAGGGATTTACTCATGGAGATATGATGTGGGCGACTCATAACCCTTTGTATATAATTCTCCATTCATATGAACTCCTTTACAACCTTGTGTCATATCATGTGAGTGTATTTCACAGTATTACAAATGCCCATATGTAACCTTCTAGGTTCAACATCTTTTGGCTATTTGTATTGTATCCAAGTATATAAGTCTATTTTTTCCACGTTCTTACAAAATTGTAATGGAATTGCCTATTTCCATTTTTGGCCCATAATTTCGTTGATGGAAAAAGAACGGGACTCAATATCACCACAGCTCATTGATGAATTTAGTAGCTACTTGTAAGAACCAAAATTACCATTGGTTATCATCAATTTGTGATCCCATATTCTCATGTGCATGCGCATGCATAAAAACTTTTCATTTCTTTTGGGATATCCATTGCCTCTTCAAGGGCATTACACTATCTCTTCCAGGATAATTATAGTTTAGAGAATACAGATCATAACCTCCTTTTGAGCATTATAGAGCTTGGATTTTAATCTCCACTTCGGGAGTTAAGTCATTGGAACTTATACGTCTGTCATGCTTCATGCATGAGACATCAATATTCCCATATCCGCGGATTAACCTTTTCGGGACAAGAATCCTTGCGGCAACTGTTATGCGTTTGGCATGTGACAGTTATGCAATAGTTCAGTAGTGCCATATTCTTCTTCTTTCGAAGGACTGAACTTTTTGAGTCTGAGGATCTGCCACGCTTCAGGCTGTGCAACAGATAAATCATTTGCTGCCATATTATTTTGTTCAATAGGGACATTAATTCTTGTAGGCACACTTGCAGCAAGTATATGTGATTTTATCATTTTCGTTGCATCATTAAATGCATCTGGCATTTGATTTGCATATCGTTGTATCATTCAATTATTCTCACTTTGTTTTGTATATTGATTGCTTCATGAATCAAAATACGACAAATTCTCTTCGTTCTTCTGGAACGGTTTTTTCTCATCATTCTTCTGGAATGATATTTGCTCATCGTTCTTCTGAAACAAAGTTATTTTCTCCCCCTAACGGCAAGAAAAATTGTCTTATCAAAATGACAGTCCGCAAACCACGCGGTAAATGTATCCCCAATCAAGGGTTTTAAATATTGAATGATAGATGATGTTTAACATCAATGCCTAATCCGCAATGATGCTTCATTTCAGTATGTTGTGGCAGTGCAATAGGCACATAGATAACCAAAAACTCGTAAATATATAATGTTTGGCTGGTTCCCAAACACGAGTTGTACTGAGAAGTATTGATGGTTGTCAACAGGTCTCAACCAAATCAATAATGCATCATGTAAAATGACATGTACCCATGTAAAAACGGGCAATTTTATTTTCGTGAGCAGAGCGCGGGTAATCTATTTCATCCGCTTAATAAATGCTTCTGCTAAACCATTTTTGAGTATGGACATAAGGAACTTCTGGTCCTTATTTAATAGTCTTACAAACCGAGATTCTTATGGCTTTTTTATTGCAATTAAGTTGAGGCACTGTGGCACTTCAAACTTAAGATACTTATCAAGGAACTTTATGTCCTAATCTTGAGGATCAAGGGACTTTATGCCCGATCTTTTTGTTTGATGGAACTTCAGGTCCAATCATTTTTATATGATGAGGATCAAGAAACTGCAGGTTCTGATCTGATCAAGGAACTTCGGGTCCAGTATGTACTCATCGTAACAAAAAGAAGTACAATAAATAAATTAAAGCAATAGGCGGTAATTTCAGCCATAATGAATAAATTGCATTTAAGTAAATAAAGCTTGTGACAAGGGCTTTAATTCAGCACCATTCACATAAATCAAAACTTAAAGCAGTAGGCGGTAAAACCGTCCATGATAAATAAATTACTTTAAAGTAAATAGAACTTGTGAAAGGGTTTTAAACCAACACAAATTCACATAAATAACAAGAAGTATCATACCTCCTTTTATTTATTATTTTTCTTTCTTTTGTCAGTACTTATTCAAACTTTACTTTTCTTATTTCTGTAGCATGGTGCCATGCACCAACAGAAACCATTTATATCATTTTGACTAAATGGTGTCATGCACCATTCTGCACCATTCAAATCCTTTATATATATATATATATAATTTTTTCTTATGTTGCAGTCAACATCCCTTTTTTTCTTCTTTCTCTGTCTCTGCCAGTCTCAAAACGCAGGGCCAGCTGGGTAGTTATGGAAGTTGCCCAAATTCAATTCAATCCAAAAGGCTACAAGAGACTGGCGTTGTTCTTGCATGACCCAGGGAACATGTCATCGTTAAGCAAGAACTTCCTTACAGAGACATAGATGACAGTGGGGTTGACAGAGGCACAAGAGAGGGAGGCCTGTGTGGATTCATTCTTGCCATCACCATCTCAAACAACCAAGTATTCATGGGAGTTCTCAAGATTCGTTGAAAACAACGTGATCTGGGTTTCCAAGTCTGATGAGATTCTTCTGGATCTCTGGAAACCAGTTGTCAAGTACGAGTTTTCTCATCTCGTGACGACTTCAGGTCGTAAATTTCAATTCTCACCGGAATTCGGTGGGGCGCTTTTGGCGCAGTGGGAGAGACGAAAAATGGACATACCTTTTATTCTGTGAGATTTTAGATGACGGAGGTGAGAGGTGGATAGTGCTTCATCGGATTTATGGCGTTGTGCTTTCCACTAACATGAGAGCTTTTCGTGCTGATAACGTGTTGTAAAATCGACAATGTGTGTACAGTGGAATAAATAAAACAAAACACAAAATTTACGAGGTTCCTCTACAGTCAGTGTGACTGGAGTACGTCCTCGGGCAGCAGTGATGCTTTCATTATAATTTGGAATAATAGGAGTACAAAGAAAACTCTATGTATTCTCTTCTCTCCTCTTCCTCTCTTTCTTTTTTCTGCTCTGTCTTCGAAGCATACGGAGTGCTCTATTTATAGAGCAACTCCAAGCACACATCTTTGACAAATGATCTCCACATATCAATATTTTGCCAAGGTTTTCAACTCTTTGGCAACGTTTTCAATGTTGTGGCAGGTATTCAATACTGTGGGCATTCATTACCCACTAGTATTTTCAACAATAGTGACTTTTTAAACTAAACATTATCTTAATACACCATATTTACTTACCCAAATTACCCTCCGACACCACTTTCTATCATACTAGAGCATATCCGAGGAGAAACCAATTTCAAAACAAGAATTGCAACTCTTAAATTGTGACTCTCAGGAGGCAATGCACTAAGAAGCTGCTCATCTCAGGGCCTCCTTAAAACCCTTTCTTTGAGAGAAGCAGCTTCTGGGAAGAAAAATTGAGGATTGTCTTTTTTGTATGCATGAATGCTCCATTAACATTGTCTAATAATACATAGTGCTTGCAACAACCCCAAATTTTATGTCACCATTTTTTACAGCACCCCACATATTCAAACACCAAAATTTCTCAAAAATTAAACAGGTTTTTTAATCAACTTGAACAAAACCCGGATGAAATTGTTGGCAAATTTTCAGGGTGAATAGAATAACCCAAAAATCAAAATGATGAAAGAAATAAGAATTAGGGCATGTAAGTCATTTCATATTAGAGTATACAAGACATTTGATATTTAAATTTTATGTGGCGTGTATTCATCAATATATGAGGTGCCAATAAAACAACCGTTTTATTGAGCAATGGTCCTCAATTTATGAGTCAATTGAAACATTGATTTTTAAATTAAAAATTCATTAAATTTGGTCCTGAATTTAACAAAATATTGAGCAATGGTCCTTAGCCTAACTCCGTTTATTTTCCATACATATTCTGATTGCGTGGCATGTGCGTGGTGGGGCCCACAATGATATTTTTTCCATTTTTAATTACATAATTAACCTTCTAAATCTTTTTTGAACAAACCTTCTAAATCTTTTGAAGAAAAAGAAAATCAACCCAGCAGGCGCTCCATATATAACCATAGCTCGTTGGGTTGGGGGAGGAGAAGCAGGTTATTGAGAATTTCCCTACTATGATGACTTTTAAATTTCTCCAACTTACTTTTCCATTCACTTATGCTTGTCCCAGATAGATAAGAACCTAAAATTTCAAGTGCTAGTGGCAAACCTCCACAGTAATCAACAACTTCTCTTGGGACTTGAAGAAATTCTTTAATAGGATAATTGTTGGCATGCCAACAAAGGAGCTCAGAAGCTTCTTCTTTATTCATTGCTGGTAGATGATATATCGTATTCGCTTTTAACATCTTTAGCAAATGTTGGTCTCTTGTGGTTATAATAATTCTACTCCCTGGACCAAATGAGTAAAATTTTATAGCTAATGCTTCTAACTGTTTCACGCTGTCTACATCATCAACTATGACAAGTACCTTTAGGTTGCGAAGTCTTGTTTTTATTTCCTCGGTCGCTTCATCAACTCTACGAACCTTTATGTTTCTTAATCTCAACACATCAGAAAGAAGTTTGTTTTGCAAATCGACCAGTTCCTCTTCTCTCACATTAGCAAGAAAACTTTTACGTACAAACTTATCCTGATATTTGTTGAAAATGGCTTTGGCAACCGTCGTTTTACCCAGTCCACCCATACCCCAAATTCCAATTATGCGGACATCATCTGATCCTCCATCAGCCAAATATTTACCAATTTCTTGCACCCGAGAATCTATTCCAACTGGGTTTGGGGCTACGGTCATGTATGTGTTCTTCAGTTTTCTAGTGATCTCGTCAACAATTTGCTCGACAAACCTTCCTTCATACCTGGTAGTAAAATTTCAAAAAAAAAAAAAAAATGGAAAAGACCATATTAGTCTTTTCTTTAGTTGTGGCTTTTAGAACAAAATTGTAGAAGACAACACCCCAAAAATATCTAAAAGAGACAAAGTACCAATAGATAAAAGTCTATATATGTGTGCTGCTTGAAAGCAGAAAGAGTGGACGAGTGTGAGTAGAAGAGAACAGAAAACACCAATAGATTGTGCAACGGAAATGGAATCAAGTTAGGACTCTAGTGAAAGAGCATAAATCTGAATTTCATGACGACCAAGCGAGTATTAGAAGAGAACACCACGAGGAGAGTGTGCAAAAGATCAAACCATCACAAAGAAGCGGAGAAAAGCCCTATCTTGCGAAGAGTGATCAGAACTTGTAATCGAAACAGTTCTGAGTCACAGAGATGAAAACACAGGGAGGGACTACTTGAATCAAAGATGATCAAGTAAGATCTCCATGAGATTAAGTCCTGTCACAAGGATTTCGAAGTAAGATCCGACATGGGACTACTTGAGAAAAAGATGATCAAGAAGAAATACAAGCAGAGATCAAACTTGTACATAGAGAGGGAGGTCTCTCATATATGCCACAAAAATTATTTGTTCAAGTAAGAATGTAGATGAAATGTTTGTTTGCTAAATGCCTTTGAATATTGTTCTGTTTCTTGTATGCCTATCTTTTCCTACTATTTGTCATTCAAATATATGGAAAGTGTGTGAGAAACAAAGGCCTAATCTTCAAAAGCCTAATCATGTATTATTCACACTACACAACAATGGTGAGATAAAGCCTCAACCTATCTAAAACTCAACAAATCATGACCCTACCTGGAATGTATCCCAGACAACGTAACTCAGGTTCCCAAGGGCTATGAAATATGTTATGAGCGTGGGGTGAGGTATGCTGAAATGATTAATTGTTGTAACTGCCAGTGAGCTTGACGTAATTGAGTTTGAGCAATCTCTGACTCTGCATGTTTCTAAATGCTTCTGTACTGAAGCCTAGCCTCATCCGACTCTTGCAAATCTAAAGTGAGTCCTTGAACTGCTTCAATTCCCTATTGAAAGAAAAAAAAAAAAAAAAAGGAACTGAGAAAAAGGTTATCGACATGTGAAAAGGTGATTTATACATAAACTATTTGAAGCAAAATCATGCATTGGATGTACGAATTACAAGAGATGTAGACAACCTATCAGTTGTTAAGGTACCTGTGGATTAAAGCCAAAGTTGCGTTTTACAATTATCCAATTTAGTTAGGTATCTTAATAAGCATCTACTACATGTGTTATATTTTACCTCTTGTATCTAAGAAGAGCATAACCTATATGATATATAATTCTGTTATTTAATTTGAAATAATTCAATACAATTGGTTGTCTGATAACCAAGCAGTCACTCCTAAGAATACTAATAGGTAGTGATCATCCATCACGGATTAAACCAAGCATGATCACTCCTAAGTACATAGGACCATACCTAAGTAATAAGGATCGTCCACCGCGGATTAACAGATTCTGCACATTAATAATGTAAGGCATTCTTATGATGAACAGTAAAGGAAAAATGACGCCTCTATTGTGGATGCAGAATGTTGCAGATCCAATAATGATTTCAAATTGGAACTATTGAAAGTTTTGTGCAATGAAGATTGTTTTTATTTTTATTTTTACCATATTCCAAACTACTCTAATTCACTGGAAGGGAGGTTCGAACTTGGTGCAAGGCGTGTGCACATTGCCTTGGCCAACTAGCCTAATGCACATGTTGTGCAATGACAACTTAAAACAATATGTAGATGCAAACAAGATTAAGAAGAATGCAAGGATGGAGAAACACGCTCAAGAAAATGCAACAAGCTAGTTTTGGATATCTGTAAGCAACTGGACAGCGCTTTGAGTGAAGAGAGGTTTTGAGTTTTTAAGTTTTTAGGACAGTTGATTTCTTTCCTTGTTCCCAACCACTTCAGAACTAACAAGTTAACCAAACTAAATAAGCCTATTCTTTCCTTGGCATTAACATTGTTAAAATTTTTACATTTTCACTTCTTACATACGAAAGGGAAATATATACTATACAGTGTATGACTACCAAAAGGACCAATGGCTCGAGTTCGGTTTATGTACCTTTTTCTTCTTCTGTTAGCCCACGCTGCTTCCTTCTTGCATGATTTCATCAGTTTCTTCTTCTGCATTTCTTTCAACACTGGATCGGACCTCAGTCTTCTGCAGGATTGATTCTCATGGGACGAGTCATCACTGTGTCCTGTCTTATGATTGCCGTCCTCTTTGTACTCACTTGAATATGGCATAGATTGACAGTCGAGTGCATATTCATGGATTAATTTTTCCTTTTCCAGATTGATCCCTATTTTAATCTTCCTGAAATGAATATCATCAGTAGCAGCTGGTTCTACAAAGTATGCACCAACATATCTTGTCTCCGCCTTTGACATTGAGCTTAATGTTTGAAAAATGTCCCAGCCAAAGATAATCTGGGATTTTATTACTTTGACACACATTGGAGAGATGAGAAATTCCGCGTTCTGAGTAAAATTTGCAACACGAATGTGAAGAGATACACCAGATTGGGAGTTGTCTGAAGAATAAATGATGCACACAGTCAATGCTTTTAAATCACAGCCAAAACTTTGTGGCACATCTATTTCACCCTGAGGGTCGACAAGCGTAAACCATGATGGAAGTTCATTTCCAGGGAGAAAAAGGGCACCATTTCCGCTCGCACTCCATCCCTATACCATGGAGAAAGATAGGTACCAAAAAGGATTACCAGCATGTACGTAGAGAGAGAGAGAGAGAGAGAGAGAGAGCCTTTACCCTTTGGATTGATTCCTTAAAAGCAGCAGTGAGATTGGTGCACCCTTCCATATGAAGAATTGTCAGGTTGGCAATTGAATTTTATAATTAAGGAATTAAAAAGGAAAAGGAAGTAAGTAATCACCCATCAGTCGCACTAAAATCCTCGCCGCCCAACTCTGCAGCTTCATTAAGAGCATCTTTCCAGGTCTGCACCATTTCAGGGGAGCGCTTTTGATGTTCCCGGAATGCTTCCTCAAAAGCACCCCTCTGATGCCTGACATCGGAGGGATCGATGTCATAGAAAATTGGCAAAACCATTTGCCCCATTATTCTTCTGCAGGCCAAGATCTCGACCAGCTCATCAAGACACCATCTCGACTCGGCATACCCGCTTGAGAAGATGACAGCAGCAAGCCTAGAGTCTTTGACTGCTTGCTTCAGTGCTTGTGTGATAATTTCGCCTCTGGTCAATTCGTTCTCGTCGATAAAGACGTTGAATCTGTGGTCTTTCAATGTGCAGTAGAGGTTGTTCGTCAATTCCTTGCGCGTTTAGCCTACATTTTGAGGAGGAGGAGGCCATCTTTATCAGTAATTGCGACGATTCTCAATTTCTTGGCACTTTCTCTATTGTGTGGGTCTATAGTATTTAATCAAGATTTGAAGTGATTCTATTATATTAGAATTTTAAGATAGTTTATTAAAATCTTTAGAAATACTGGTGTATTCAATTAGGATTTTAAAAAATTTGAGAAAGTTGAGGAATTAGAGAGGATTAAAGAGATTTTATAGTGTATTTTAAGCATCCATAAATCTCACATCTCTCATGAGATTTCGAATGAATTGAATGAAAATTTTATATGGAATCTCTATAAATAAATTAAACTTCATAAAAATTCATAAATTTATAAATTCATTTAACTCTTTAAAATTCTCAAATACAACCCCTTAATTTCATGCGCATATTATGGGAGGAATGAATACAAGCTCTTGGCAACCGTCGAGATTGAACTTTGAATTTCGGCATGATACCAATTGTTCTGGTGAAGCATTTGTTGTTGTGACCAAGTATTCAATTTAATTTTTTTTTTATTCGAGAGAACTTTGAATTTCTGCATGGTACCGAATTTGTACTTAAAATTGTCGAAGGGAGAAAACTTATCTAGCCAACTTGGCTACACCAAATATACAGCCAGTACTCAATTCTTATGTGGCATGTGCATATTTCTTTTTTTCTTTTTTTTTATATATACATTTTTTTTCTACATTTCAGAAACAAGTCTTACATGAAATTTACTAGTTCCAACTTATAGGCCACCATATCAAAGAAGAGGAAAATTGCATCCGAAAAGCTAGCATGTTTTGAAGATAACCAAAAATAAAAAAAAAAGAAGGAAAATAAGTATTAATTAAAGAGAACATTATAACTTCTTACATACAAAAGGGAAATATGTAGTATAGCATGAGTCCCAAAAGTACTAATGGCTCGAGTTCAGTTTATGAACCTTTTTCTTCTTCGGTTAGCCCATGCTGCTTCCTTCTTGCATGAATTCATCAGTTTCTTCCGCATTTCTTTCAACACTGGGATCCAACCTGAGTCTTTTGCGGGATTGATTCTCATGGGACGAGTCATAACCGTGTCCTGCCTTATGATTGCCGTCCTCTTTGCACTCACTTGAATATGGCATAAATTGACGGCCGAGCGCATATTCATTGATTAATTTTTCCTTTTCCAGATTTATCCCTATTTTCTTCACCCTGAGATGAATATCATCAGTAGTCCCTGGTCCTACAAAGTGTGCACCAACATTTATCTTGTCTCCGCCTTTCACATTGAGCTTATTGTTTGACAAATGTCCCAGCCAAAGATAATTTTCATGGCAAGTTAATACAGTGGCACGCATTGGAGAGATGAGAAATACAGTGTTCTGGCTATAATTTGCAACACGAATGCGAAGAGAGCCACCAGATTTGGAGTCGTCTGAAGAATAAATGATGCACACAGTCAATGCTTTTAAATCACAGCCAAAACTTTGCGGCACCGCTATTTCACCCTGAGGGTCAACAGGCGTAAACCATGATGGAATTTCATTTCCAGGAAGAAAAAGGCCACCATTTCCGCTTGTACTCCATCCCTATACCATGGAGAAAGACAGGTACAATAAAGGATGACCAGCATGTAAGAAAGAGAGAGAGAGAGAGAGAGAGAGAGAGAGAGGACCTGTAGGATCCCTTCTTTAAAAGAAGCAGTGAGATTGGTGCACCCTTCCATATGAATACTTGTCATGCAGTTTAATGGCTTATCCAAGCCTAGAATTTCAGAGAGTTTGGGGGAGTGATTCAGATGCAATTCTCTCATCCTTGACATTTCTGAAAAATCGGGCATTTTCTCCAATGCAATGCACTCATCCGCTTCCAGGATTTCCAAATTTGTTGGTAAAGCTGGAATTGCCTGAAGGTTTTTGCAATCTTTGAGTATCAATCTCTCAAGATTTGGGGTTTTTGAAAAGTCCGGTGATCGTGTTAGGTTATGGGAATGACTTAAATTAAGAAACTTCAACTTCTCAAGCAACTGTCAGATAAAAGGAAAAATATTCAAATTCAAATAGAAGACAGAAAGCATGATGTTTACAAAACCTAGAGGAATGAATTAATAATTGGTTATAGCCATAACATACCAGAACGGAATCCGCCCACACTCGTGTGAGTTTGCTATAGCTGAGGTCAATAACAACTATGTTTGGGTGATCAAAATCTTCTGGTATGACCTCCAGGGGGAATCCATGCCAACACAACCATCTTAACTCATTGGGCAGATTGTTGTAACTGCCAGTGAGCTTGACGTAATTGAGTTTGAGCAATCTCAGACTATGCATGTTTCTAAATGCTTCTGTACTGAAGCTAGTCTCGTCAGACTCTTGCAAATCTAAAGTGAGTCCTTGAATTGCTTCAGTTCCCTATTGAGAGAGAGCGAGAGACAGGAGAGAGGGGGTGTGGGGTGGGTGGGAGGAAACTGAGTAAGAAAAAGGCTATCTGCATGTGGAAAGATGATTTATACACATGAAGTAAAACCATGCATTGAATGTATGAATTACAAGAGAGGTAGACAACCTATGACCTGCCGCGGTACCTTTGAGTAGGACATATAATTTGTGCTCAGACATCCGTTGTGCCGTGTCCAAATTTGTTAGGTATCTTAGCATCTGCTACAGGGTTTTTTACCTCTTGTATCTAAGAGCAGAACATATATGATACATGATTCTGTTATTTAATTTGAGATAATTCAATGCACTAGGTTCCTTCCATGTCTCCTACACTTTCCTTTCTATGCTCTGTTCCTCTTTTCATTCAACCTGTAGTATATATGGGTGTCTTTCCAATCAACTCATTGTTTTGTATACTATTGAAACATCCAACTTATACAATTTATTAGATGTGTGTGATATGCATATTTAGTAAGTGCATGCGTTTGACAGAAAATTTGATTGCGGAATTACTTACAGATTTGTCCCTCAGTACGTCTATCACATCATCGTGATGCCATAACCTACTGCGTTTTCCAGGGACATCAGGGGATTCCGCATGCACAATATATCTTCCCATGTCGCGAACCAAATCATGCATCACCAGCGTCAAATCTTCATTAGTAGTTACAAGGCATCGTTCGTGGAGGACACTGATTCTGATTTCTGGATATAAGTCACAGCCATCCAATATTTTCATGACATAGTCCTTGTTCATTCCAGCAAAGAAACATGATACATCAAGGAATATAGCCTTCAGGTCATCATCAGCTAGCTCGTCAAAGCTTATTTCAAGTCTATTGAGAATTTCCCTACTATGATGACTTTTAAATTTCTCCAACTTACTTTTCCATTCACTTATGCTTGTCCCAGATAGATAAGAACCTAAAATTTCAAGTGCTAGTGGCAAACCTCCACAGTAATCAACAACTTCTCTTGGGACTTGAAGAAATTCTTTAATAGGATAATTGTTGGCATGCCAACAAAGGAGCTCAGAAGCTTCTTCTTTATTCATTGCTGGTAGATGATATATCGTATTCGCTTTTAACATCTTTAGCAAATGTTGGTCTCTTGTGGTTATAATAATTCTACTCCCTGGACCAAATGAGTAAAATTTTATAGCTAATGCTTCTAACTGTTTCACGCTGTCTACATCATCAACTATGACAAGTACCTTTAGGTTGCGAAGTCTTGTTTTTATTTCCTCGGTCGCTTCATCAACTCTACGAACCTTTATGTTTCTTAATCTCAACACATCAGAAAGAAGTTTGTTTTGCAAATCGACCAGTTCCTCTTCTCTCACATTAGCAAGAAAACTTTTACGTACAAACTTATCCTGATATTTGTTGAAAATGGCTTTGGCAACCGTCGTTTTACCCAGTCCACCCATACCCCAAATTCCAATTATGCGGACATCATCTGATCCTCCATCAGCCAAATATTTACCAATTTCTTGCACCCGAGAATCTATTCCAACTGGGTTTGGGGCTACGGTCATGTATGTGTTCTTCAGTTTTCTAGTGATCTCGTCAACAATTTGCTCGACAAACCTTCCTTCATACCTGGTAGTAAAATTTCAAAAAAAAAAAAAAAATGGAAAAGACCATATTAGTCTTTTCTTTAGTTGTGGCTTTTAGAACAAAATTGTAGAAGACAACACCCCAAAAATATCTAAAAGAGACAAAGTACCAATAGATAAAAGTCTATATATGTGTGCTGCTTGAAAGCAGAAAGAGTGGACGAGTGTGAGTAGAAGAGAACAGAAAACACCAATAGATTGTGCAACGGAAATGGAATCAAGTTAGGACTCTAGTGAAAGAGCATAAATCTGAATTTCATGACGACCAAGCGAGTATTAGAAGAGAACACCACGAGGAGAGTGTGCAAAAGATCAAACCATCACAAAGAAGCGGAGAAAAGCCCTATCTTGCGAAGAGTGATCAGAACTTGTAATCGAAACAGTTCTGAGTCACAGAGATGAAAACACAGGGAGGGACTACTTGAATCAAAGATGATCAAGTAAGATCTCCATGAGATTAAGTCCTGTCACAAGGATTTCGAAGTAAGATCCGACATGGGACTACTTGAGAAAAAGATGATCAAGAAGAAATACAAGCAGAGATCAAACTTGTACATAGAGAGGGAGGTCTCTCATATATGCCACAAAAATTATTTGTTCAAGTAAGAATGTAGATGAAATGTTCGTTTGCTAAATGCCTTTGAATATCTGTTTCTTGTGATTTAGCTCAATCCGAGCACACTGGTGGTAAGATCAAGCATTGATATATTCCGTTATCGGAGTTTTTAAGCTTTGCATTTAAATGCATAAAATTAAAGATTATAAGCCTTTACTTGAAATCAATTTACAGTTTATTGACATTTGGTGAACAGAGGTTCGCAATTGAATTATACAATTAAGGAATTGAAATCGAAAAGGCAGTAAGTACCCGCCAGTTGCCCTAAAATCCTCGCCGGCCAACTCTGCAGCTGCAGTAAGAGCATCTTTCCAGGCCTGCACCTTGTAAGGGAAGTTCAGTTGATGACTCCGAAATGCTTCCTCAAACTCTCGCGTCTGGTGCCTGACATCGGTAGGATCGATATCATAGAAAATTGGCAAAACCATTAGCCCCATTGTTTCTTTGCGGGCCAAGATCTCCTCCAGCTCCTCAAGACACCATCTCGACTCAGCATACCCCCTTGAGAAGATGATAGCAGCAAGCCTAGAGTCTTTGATTGCTTGCTTCAGTGCTGGTGTGACAGGGTCGCCTCTGGTCAATTCGTTCTCGTCGAAAAAGACGTTGAATCCATGGTTGTCCAATGTGTGGGCGAGGTAGTCCGTGAAGTTCCTGCTTGTGTCGCCTCTGAAGCTCAAGAACACGTCGTACTTGCCGCATTTTGAGGAGGAGGAGGACATCTTCATCAGTTGGCATGCTACTGCAGCAGCAATTCTGACGATGCGAACGGCAAATCGGGCATACACCAAAGTCAAGTCAACTCCCCATTGTTTCAAGTCCACAATAGAGTAAGAGCTTTTTGCATCTTTCGGCCGGCAACTTCTTGGCGCTTTCTGTTGAGTGGCTCTAGTCTTTTACTTTCCAGTTCTCATTTGATAATGTAACTTCTTTATTGATAAATAAAAAAAATAAATAAATAAAATACTTTACTCTTAATTTTTTGTAAGCGAGCCGCTTAGTATTGCAGTCTGTTAATATTTTTTTTTTCAGTTATAAGTAAGAGGTTTTAAGTTTAAATCTCGTGAATAGGCAAATTTTATACTAAATTAGGTTATCCATTACGTAGTTTAGCCGAATTTTCTCTCCTTTTAGTATAAAGTATATCATTGTACTCAAACAAAAAATTTCATGCAAACAATACTATGGAAAGAATGAATCAAACTCGGAACCTTGAGTTCAAATGTGCTTGTTCTTAACAAAATGGGTTACAAAGCCAATTACTAAAAAAAATCCACGCATTTATCAAAACATTACGGTTTTTTTTTTGAACTTTGAACTTCTGTACAAACTCTTGGCAACCCTCGAAATTGAACTTTGAATTTCTGTATAATGGGATCCAATTGTTCTAGTGATGCATTTGCTTTTTTCACCAAGTATTCAATTTCTTTTTTGGTTTTCATCTCAAATAGTCTTTGAAATTGATCAAATATATTAAGATGGTCCTTGAAATTGATCAAATCTAATTAAATATTAGGGTAAAGTACAAAAAACTACCTCAACTATTGCGGTCATGACTGTTTCATACCCCATCTTTTAAAATTGACAATGTCATACGGCATCTTACGAATTTGTGACAATGTCATACCTCCGTCAATTTTTCTGTTAGTTTTTCTGTTAAATGCTGACGTGGCAATAGACGGGGACCACTTTCTATTAAAAAATTAATAAAATATTATTAAAAAATAAAAAAATATTTAATATTTTTTAAATATTAAAATAATAAATAAAAGTAAAATTAAAAAAAAAGTGTAAAGTACAAAAAACTACCTCAACTAGTAGGATCACGACACTTTCATACCTCATCTTTTAAAATTGATAATGTCATACCGCATCTTATGAATTTGTGACAATGTCATACCTCTGTCAATTTTTCTGTTAAGTGCTGACATGACTTGATTCGTGACCTACTTTCTATTAATAAATTGGGTAAAGTACAAAAAACTACCTCAACTATTGCGGTCATGACAGTTTCATACCTCATCTTTTAAAATTGACAATGTCATACCGCATCTTACGAATTTGTGACAATGTTATACCTCCGTCAATTTTTTTGTTAGTTTTTCTGTTAAATGCTGACGTGGCAATAGACGGGGACCACTTTCTATTAAAAAATTAATAAAATATTATTAAAAAATAAAAAAATATTTAATATTTTTTAAATATTAAAATAATAAAAAAAAGTAAAATTAAAAAAAAAGTGTAAAGTACAAAAAACTACCTCAACTAGTGGGATCACGACAGTTTCATACCTCATCTTTTAAAATTGATAATGTCATACCGCATCTTATGAATTTGTGACAATGTCATACCTCTGTCAATTTTTCTGTTAGTTTTTCTGTTAAGTGCTGACATGGCTTGATTCGTGACCTACTTTCTATTAATAAATTATTAAAAACTAAAAAATAATTATTTAATATTTTTTAAATATTAAAATAATAATAAAAGGCCAAAAAAGAAAACCCTCATTTCGTCCCTCCCCTCCCCCTCCTCCCTCCTCCCTCCTCCCTCCCTTTTTTCATCTTCTTCCCCCACCTGCAAATCCCAACAAAAAAAAAAATCCAATTTGTCTTCCCCCCACACTTGCACTCTATTTCCCCACACCCACACCCACACCCACACTCTTCTCCCTCCTGCAACCCAAAAAAAAAAAAAAAAAAAAAAAAAAAACCCAGATCTCGTCGGTGGGAAGATGGGTGCACAAAGAAGGTGGAGGATGGTTGCGGAAGAGGATGTGGAGAATGGATGAAAGTGGTGGATTTGGGGTTTGATGGGTTTTCAAAAAGAATATTCTTTTTTTTCCTTCTTCTTCTTCTTCCTTCTTCTTCCGCTAAGGGAGTTGATGTTTTTTTTTTTTTTTTTTTTTTTTTTTTAATTTCCTTCCTCCTTTTTTTCCTCTTCTTCTTCTTCCTCCTCCTTCTCCTTCTCCTTCTCCTTCTTCTTCTTCTTCCGCAGGGGGGGTGTTGATGGGTTTTCAAATTTGTTTTTTATTTTTTCTTCCTCTTCTTCTTCTTCCTCCTTCTCCTTCTCCCTTCTTCTTCTTCTGCGCCGATAGGGGGAATTTTTTTTTTTTCTTTCTCCTTTTTTTAACTCTTCTTCCTCTTCTTCTTCCTCATCCTCCTCCTCCTCCTCCTCCTCCTTGTTCTTCTGCAGGGGGTTGTTGGGTTTTCAAATTTTTTTATTTTTTTATTTCTTTGGGTTTGCAGGTGGGGAGAAGAAAATGAAGATGGGGAGAAGAGAGAGGAGGGAGGAGGGAGAGGGGAGGGACAAACTGATGGTTTTTTTTTTTTTCTGCTTTTATTATTATTTTAATATTTAAAAAATATTAAATAATTGTTTTTTAGTTTTTAATATTTTTTTAATAGAAAGTATGTCCCAAATCAAGTCATGTCAGAACTTAACAGAAAAACTAACAGAAAATTTGACGGAGGTATGACATTGTCACAAATTTGTAAAATACGGTATAACATTGTCAATTTTAAAAGATAAGGTATGAAACTGTCATGACCCCAATAGTTGAGGTAATTTTTTGTACTTTACCTTTTTTTTTTAATTTTACTTTTATTTATTATTTTAATATTTAAAAAATATGAAATATTTTTTTTAGTTTTTAATAATATTTTATTGATTTTTTAATAGAAAGTGGTCCCCGTCTATTGCCACGTCAGCATTTAACAGAAAAACTAACAGAAAAATTGACGGAGGTATGACATTGTCACAAATTCGTAAGATGCGGTATGACATTGTCAATTTTAAAAGATGAGCTATGAAACTGTTATGACCGCAATAGTTGAGGTAGTTTTTTGTACCTTACCCTAAATATTACCATGTGGATTAAAAAATATTTAAATAATAAAAAAAACAATGTTTTGTCAGAAAAAAAAAAAAAGGTTCCATCGTCTTCCTCGCGAAGGCTCAGCTGCCATGGCAGCCCTGCTACACCACCTTCTCCCCACCTTATCCTCCTACCTACCTCTGCACCCGAGGTCCCGAGGCCTAGATCACCAATAATTCTGACGGGTAGCAGAAGATTTCGGAAAAACCCACCTTCCCCCTGGGTTCTTTTTGCTTTTGCTGGGAGTGGATGCTTTTGGTGGGGAGGGATGGCATGGCAGCATGCTTGCGCGAAGAAGACCACGGAAAAAAATAAATAATTTTGACAAATTTCTTTTATTATTATTTAAATATTTTTAATGACTTTTTATTAGCATTCTACAAATTGCTGATTACCCCCCACGTATTGAAAAAAAAACTTATAGTTGTTGTAAAATCGACAATGTGTGTACAGTGGAATAAATAAAACAAAACACAAAATTTACGAGGTTCCTCTACAGTCAGTGTGACTGGAGTACGTCCTCGGGCAGCAGTGATGCTTTCATTATAATTTGGAATAATAGGAGTACAAAGAAAACTCTATGTATTCTCTTCTCTCCTCTTCCTCTCTTTCTTTTTTCTGCTCTGTCTTCGAAGCATACGGAGTGCTCTATTTATAGAGCAACTCCAAGCACACATCTTTGACAAATGATCTCCACATATCAATATTTTGCCAAGGTTTTCAACTCTTTGGCAACGTTTTCAATGTTGTGGCAGGTATTCAATACTGTGGGCATTCATTACCCACTAGTATTTTCAACACTCCCCCTTGGATGCTCACATATCAACATGAGTTGCCTCGTTAAGATCTTGATCTATTTTGGATGCTCCCCCTTGATGAGTATCTCCCCCTGATTTCAAATTATTTAAGCTGATCATTGATCCTGCTGCTTTAGTCTTTTAGCGGTGATAGTTGCCGAATGAAGTGTTTCACTTGTTGTTAACTTTCCACAGACTTGTTCTTGAACTGGGTTGGAGGGCCTTTCTGCTAGACTTCCTCCAAAGGTCTGAATTTACCTATTTTATCTGGAGCTGAATTTGGTTCAAGGGTGGTGGACACTTGATCTTGAATCGGACTTGTGATTTCTTCAAAGGCCGTCTACACTTGATCTTGAATGAAATTGGATCATAAGGAGCTTCATGTGACAAATGATCTTAGACTTTGTCGGGGATGAACTTAAATGTGTTTGTTGTGGTTGTCTCCACATGCTTCAATGTATCATTTTCACTTGCCTTACTTGCTCCCCTTGCAGAAGTGGTATTTTCCTTATGCAGGTTTGGCATCTTCTCTTGTAGTATTTGTCATCTGATACAGGAGTGGAATGCAAACCTTGTATTTGAATGGACCATCACTTCTTGGTGGCAGCGCAAGTTTGAGTGGAGGTTCCGACATATTGCTTTCTTTATCCTTGTCTTGGCAGGTAAGAACAAGGACAAAGGAAAGGACAGGGAGATTGCATGATATGAGATACTCTTGCTCTCGTCCCTGATGATATGAGATACTCTTGCTCTGGTGTGACTTGTTTGTAGAGGTATTCTCAGAGAGGAAGAAAACTAAGTATTTCGAGATACTTTGTGAAAGATGCATTCTCGGAGATGAGGAAGAGTTAGATATTTTTCAGTTCTGCCTTGCCGTGGAGGACAAAGGTTGACATATATATTGATTTTCCAATAGCAGGTAGTAAAGTTGTGCCTTTACTCTTGTCAGCAACTGTGGTGTAATTAGAACAGTAAGATTCACGCGTTTTCAACTTTATCAGAAATCTTTGACAAAGTTGCACGTGATATCCAAGAGCTGAGATTGCGTCTGAGAAATGTTGACAGACGTCATACAGGGAAATCCAGCTTTTGAGATTCGAAAATCGGTGTCTCTTCAATTTTTGAATAAGTGCTCCTGTTGTCCCTCCTTTTATAGAGATATCAATTTTGTTCAGTAACACTCAGAAAATTGTTGTCTGCAGAAATTTCCCTTTCTTGCACTTCT